CATCCCTCATGTGCCGATTCCTATCTGCCCTTATCTCATTCATGAAGGCATGCATCATATCCTGATTATTTTTCATCAGGTTCTCAGTCATTGTTCTATTTGCAGCAGTCTCTTCCTGCAGAGCATTCAGAACTGCAGTAATAGGATCTGGTGCTAAAGGACCTGCACCTCGAGTTCCACAGCGACCTCGTGCCCTACTCATGATATCTGTACATTTAACACAAAGGAATGAGCTGATCAGACTCACACTGAGGAATCATATATACATTAATCATAAATAGTTCACAGATAGCTATGCAACACAAAATACAGTTATGCATTATCAGAGTTCCCTTACAAAACTGCTCTGATACCATAAAATGTAACAGCCCGTTGTACACCGGTATTGTTAACATTAATTATGATATTAAGCGTAGTTACAATCACAGCGATTCATTTATAAAAATGCGAGTAACTTTTTCCGTTTATTACGCGAGCATTTAAAACAATAAAAAGCGTAATAAATAAAAGTTGTGATCGTAACTGTAAAATATTTGCGGAATAATTATTTAAACTACTTTTCTAACACATATTACATCTCTCAAGCCACTAAGGGGTTTCCATAAACCCACTTAGCTAAAATCTCACTTTTACGTTTTTTACCTATCCGAACATGGTTCGGTCTTTAAATGTCTGCAGACAAACCACATTCTACAAGCCTCCCATCTTTTAGTACGTTATTCTAGACTTATTTAAATTTCTAGGAAGCTATCACAAGAGTCATAAAGTTCTCATTTGCTCTGGATATCGCCGTTTGAAGTTGGACAAGCAAATCTGCCAGCCAACCCCAAAACAGCTCCAAACAGCCTTTACTCAATCAATTATTCTGGAAAATCCACTCAACCAATTTCTCTCAAGTTTTTATACAACAAACTAGACACCTCAAGCTTCAATTTGATATATCATAAACCTAATTTTACCAAGAAACAAAGTGGGAATAATTTTTCCAATCTCGCTCCAGAACAGCCCCATACGCAGGGACCAAATGAGCAGTCTGTGCTCTCTGCCTTCTACAGGCCGATGCCTAACCCACAAAAATCCCAAATTTTACCACAATGTATAGTACATCTCAAGCTTTAAAAAGGAGTATGGAACGTCCCTAACGGACCTCTTTGGAGGGAGATATACTCTCTCAAAGTTCGTCTAAATTCTGCGAATTTCTAGAAAATTCGCCAGAGTTTCCTTTGTTTTTCCAATAATCCCCAAGTGTGCAAAAGTGTTCTATGACCTCAATTTGTATATAATAATCATTGGATGGCACACACAAAGACCAGCAATGCCTTGAGGCTCTTACAACCCATCACAGTTTATATCAAATTACTCATTTTCCATCACTTTACTTACATTTTCAAACTTAACATATTTCAATCACCATAATCCAATTGCTTGCATTCTTTACATTATAAAACGTAAATCAATCCTAGAATATGCCTATTGCCCTTTCATCATATTACATATGCTTCATATTACATAAGATCCAAATGTAATAATTACAATTATCCAATTTACATCATAAGCCATAAGTCTCCAAATACAACGTAATAACAACTCTCAAAATAAACATAATCCATATGTAACTAGACTTAGGCAAAAGATGGCATGAACAAATAGGACAATATACATCATCCTAAATCCATATACAATGTTCATGCCCTAAGTCTAACCTAGGCCCAATGGCCACCAAAATGCAAAATAAATGGAATCCTATGTCTGAATTATCCTGCGCGTTTCTTGCCCGCCGCTCCAACACCACTGCTACCTCCTGAAATAAAGCCCCAAAAGCGGGGTGAGATATACGAATATATCTCAGTAACCCAGAGGTTCTGGAGAATACTGCGCCCAATGGCTCACTTCGATGCATATAAATAACGTAACATAGCATCTGAAAACGGGATAAAGCAAGGGATTTAGAGAAATAGGGAAGCATAGGGATACAATATACGACGAAGCTGGAACGGTCAATGTCAAAACCACGCAACGTCCAGCCTATTGGCTCGGCATATAAGCCTACGGGTTTCAAACCAAGGTGTGTTCCCAGAACATCAACCAAGGCACCCTTCATCCATATCCACCCGAGACTTCCTAGTGTGCTCCTATCTGGATCACACACCATGACCCCAGGTCAACTGAAACTCCCTCCCGGAGACCTATCCAGTGGAAGTTCGTAACGCCCGAAGGCAAACAGTCTACTGGCTAGAGACACGGTACATCCTATGTACCACCACACATACAATATGCATGAACATGTTATCCTATATTATTTACATACACTTCCTACCATTACCCTCAACGGGCATGGTGGAACACACAAGGGGATCAAACCTCAGTACCAAGGGATTACCTATATAATCCTCTCCCACAGCTCCAATGCAGTATATTTCCTGAGCTAGGTACACTACAGAAATGTCTACACAGAGGACATTCCCAATTAATTACCATTCAAACCACACATGCAAGTTTTCAAGTACATATGCATGGTTCCAAAAGACTTACCTCAATCCCTTTTGGTCCGGGACTAAGGGCAACCCACCGAGCTTACGGTTCAGGGTTCAAATCCACGAAAGGCAACCTACAACGACCATATACGGATCATCAGAACGCGGTAAACCATTAAATTAACAAACCATCAATTTTTCCTCCCCCCACAAGTGAGGTTCGGCCATATATGTGTTAAAACACAAAATATTTTCTTTATTTTCTTTCTATTTTTCTTAAGCACTCTAAGGCTACCAAAATGCCATTTTAGGTGTCACTTTTCATTTTACACCATTCTAATATCATTTTGCCCATTTTTTCCTCTCTTGGCTGAATCCACCAAGTCACACACCAATGACCATTCAATTCAATTTAGCAATGCAAGCCATCCTATCATCCCACTATTAACTCATATACCCATCCAACAATCCAATTACACAATCCTAACAACAACTCCCAATACAAAGTCATGACATTTCACTCAAAATTTTCCTAAGTTATCATCAATTTTCACCAATAAATTTTATGACATATAACATTCCAAATCTAAGACATATTTATCTAATACACATTTTTCATTTGAGCTCTCTAACTAGATCAATCACACAAAATGCATTTAGGGTTCATGAAATTTAATCAACAAATCCAATCAATAAAATGTGATAAAACTTACCCAATATCAAGGTCTAAGGCTCCTCCAAGACATACTAATTCATTGGGGAACCAATCAACTCCAAGAGTGTAAATCTCCACACCTAGGTCGCGGGTTTGGGGGGGTTTTTTTTCTCCAAATATAGTGATTTTTATGGCTCAAGATTACCACCAATGTGGTTGGGAGGTGATTTCCAACAACTTTCAAGACAAACTTTGCTTGATTTGGTTGAGATTGTGTGAGTTAGAGGAGAAAGAAAATCTCAAGGAAATTTGGCCATGGAGGGGGTGAGGGCTCGGGTTTGTAGAGAGAAAGGGAGAGGAAAGATGAACATGAATAGTAAATTGCCATATGGCTTAAGTGATTTAAGTGAGGTGGGCCCTACCGCCACCTCACGCGATTTCAAACTAATTCGAATTTCCCTCCGATTCCACTAAACGTCCATAATTTCATAACCTATTTAGAAACTCTAATTTTTAACATTAACCATTGTCCTTTAATTACCCTTGATCAGATGAATCCGGAGTTTTTCGGTCGTTCGGAGAAATTGCAGTTTTAAGTTGTTCGCGCGCCGTAGGCACGCTTCCCCAAACTTACTAATTTCCATCAATTTTCATCAGAAATCATATTTCCTAGTCATATATACCATTTATAACTTATATCCAAACCTAGAGATCAAAATTCAATCGGCACGCTTTACGGTGCAACTGTACCGCGGTATTTTTACCTGTAAAAACAATATTCACTGAATTTTCCGAAACTTTCCTAACCACTCAATTTTTCGTTCTGAATCCATTTCCAAAGTTATTTTCATCATTTGAGACCTCTTACTCAATTTTGCCTTCCTAGGGTTGCGTGTTTGGTTAATTACTGTTTTACACTTCCTTTGTATTTTGACCTAATTTTCAGAATTTTCACTAATCCTTCGTTTTAATCCATGTTTAATATATTAATATATAATTTAGAAATGTGAGGTGTTATAAAATTCATGGTATTTTTGTAATTATAATTTATTTCAGGATTATTATATTCTTTATAATTATATTTTTTTAATTTTTCAACCCAAAACGACGTCGTTTTGGGAGCGAATGCAGATAACTTATCTACATTTATTTTAGAAATATTAAAGCCTTGTTTTTTTATAGTCATTTTGGGAGCGAATGTAGATAACTTATCTACATTCATTTTAGAAATATTAAAGCCTTGTTTTTTTTCGTAAACAAGTTTTATATTTGTTTTACAGAAAAAATATTTTTGCAGTTAATGCAGATAAGTTATCTGCATTTATTCATAAAACGACGTCGTTTTGAAATTGAAATATTAAAAAACTATAATTATAAAGAATATAATAATCCTGAAATAAATTAAAATTACAAAAATATCATGAATTCCGCTCTAAAACGATGTTGTATTGGACTTATTACATATAACTTATCTGCAATAACTGCAAAGAAAAGCGAACCCTTTGTTTTACGGAGATTACTTCTCTTATGTAATAATAGAGAAGTTTTCTTATGTTAAAAGATAAATAAGACAAATAAAGTGAACCTCACCAACTTTTAAAAGGAAAAAAAAAAAAAAAAAAAAAAAGAGATATATTTTTTAAAGTGAGAGTAACACGAGTCGTGCAATATAAGAATACGATTCCTCAATCTCATGCATAAGAGTGTGATTTCCTTGTTTTATCTCCGAACAAAACAACCAAAAATATAAAATAAAATAAAAACAAAATAAAAAAATAACCCATCTGCGCGATCGCCAAACCGTATTCGAACAGTTACAACAAGCAAGACAACATAATCGAATCGAAGACATCCTCAAAGATCGATGATTGATGGAGACAAATGAAAATGATGGTGTTTCGGTTCGAGAGATATGTGCAAATGGAAGCTGCATGAAGACAGAAGTAGTTGAGGCCAAGCTTGATGAAGGAAATATTGAAGCTGCAGAAGCAGCATTGCGAGAAGGCTTGTCACTCAATTTTGAGGTTCATTTTTATTGCATTTTGTATATTTCATTTTTTTCAAATAGTAAGAACAGAAAACCAATGTCACATTGAATTCGTATAACCTTGCATTTTGCAAATTTCTATCAAATGCGAATGTCATTGGTGTCTAGCATTGATTTTTTTATTTTTTAGGCATAGAAGATTCTGGCTTTAACTCCTAACATTCTGTAGCAATATGTTAATACTTGTCAATCATCAAAATCTTTATCAGAATTATTGAAAATATTCCCCTTGAGACCAGGCTTGGACTCTCAGATCTGTGATTAATTTTGTGATAAAAGAAATTTTTTTGGGTATTACTAGGAATCTGTTGTTTGATGGTACAGGGTTTGTGAAGGGTGTGAAGAATGAATCTTTGAGCACAATAGCAATGAAGTTTTTAATGTAATGCCTTATCTAGCTAATTGTAACTACTTTTTCATTTTTAAAAACCTTCAACAACAAGTGGAGTTCATTTCTTGTAAAATGAGTCAAACATTAGAATATCTTATTTCCCATGATCAATATTGAGATTGTATAAATATAAATATTACAAATAAAATGGATTTTAATTTACATACATGAACTGCATTACATGTTATTCGATTTGAAATAAGATAAGTATGCCAGAATGAAAACAATACCTTTGAAATTTGTACAATCTGTAAATTTGATACAGTCAACTCATACAAACCTTGTTTCTTCTTGGGATTGAATTGGAGAACCATTTTTGGGGACAAATCAATCATATGTTTGATGCATTCTCAATGGTCATTTTTAAACCTTAATAGGAAGCAAGAGCTCTTCTCGGAAAGATAGAGTATGAGAGAGGTAATATTGAAGGCGCTCTTGTTGTGTTCGATGGGATTGATCTCCAAGCAACCATAGAGAGATTGCAACCTTCCCTTTCTGAGAAGCCACCCGTCAAGAAAGGCCCCACTCGCACTGATTCACCTTCCTCAGTCTCTCAGCATGCTGCTAGTTTGGTGCTTGAAGCCATCTACTTCAAAGCCAAGTCTCTACAAAAACTGAGGAAATCTACTGGTATTGATTATTGAAAGTTATTCTCTACTGGTTGTTTACTTTATCTTTCATCTCTTTCTGAATGGGAATGAATCCTCTATTCCTCCTATACCTTTAATGTTCTATCTTTTAATTAGATCAAATACATTGAAATTCTTGTTCAATGGATTTATGCAGAAGCTGCTAAAGAATGCAAGCATATTCTTGATGCCATTGAGAAGATATTTTGTCAGGGCATACCTGATACTCAAGTGGACAATAAATTGCAGGAGATAGTCAGCCATGCAGTAGAACTCCTTCCAGAGCTTTGGAAACAGGCTGGTTGCTATCATGAGGCAATTTCTGCTTATAGGCGCGCCCTTCTTAGTCAATGGAACCTTGATAATGATTGCTGTGCAAGAATTCAGAAAGAATTTGCTGCATTTTTGCTGTATAGTGGGGTGGAAGCAAGTCCACCCAGTTTAGCAGTTCAGATTGAAGGGTCTTATGTACCTAAAAATAATCTGGAAGAGGCAATACTGCTTCTAATGATTCTTGTGAAAAAGTATTGCCTTGAAAAGACAAAATGGGATCCTTCAATTATGGAACACCTCACGTTTGCACTTTCGGTATGTGACCAAACTTCTATTTTAGCCAAGCAATTGGAAGAGTTGATGCCTGGTGTGTATCATCGTATTGACCGTTGGAATTCTATAGCACTATGTCATAGTGGAGATGGACAAAACAAAAGTGCTTTGAATCTGCTAAGGACATCTTTGCACAAACATGAACGACCAGATGACCTTATATCATTGTTATTGGCTGCCAGGATTTGCAGTGAGGATCCTCATCTTGCTGCTGAGGGGGCAGGTTATGCACAGAAGGCAATCAATAATGCTCAGGGCTTAGATGAGCATTTGAAAGGAGTAGGTCTTCGAATGCTGGGACTTTGCCTGAGAAAGCAAGCTATGGTTGCTTCCTCCGACTTTGAGAGGTCTATTCTTCAGTCCAAAGCTCTGCAATCATTGGAGGAGGCTGTTACACTGGAGCAAAACAATTTTGATCTAGTTTTCGAGTTGGCTATTCAATATGCTGAGCAAAGAAATTTGACTTATGCTTTACGCTATGCCAAGCAGTTCTTTGACAAAACTGGTGGCTCTAAATTGGAAGGTTGGACATTGCTTGCTCTAGTTTTGTCTGCACAAAAAAGATTTTCAGAGGCTGAAGTGGTGACTGATGCTGCTTTAGATGAGACAGCAAAATGGGAGCAAGGGCCACTGTTCAGGCTTAAAGCCATGCTGAAGATCTCCCAATCAAGACCCATGGATGCTATTGAAATTTACCAGTACCTTCTTGCATTGGTTCAAGCCCAGAAGAAATCCTTTGGGCTGCTCAGACCTAGTTCACAGGTAAGGTTCTGCCATCTTCTTCTCTTCCAATAATTCTTATTTTTAAACTTAATAATAGTGAGACATGTTTTATCAAATAATAATAATAACGCTAGCAAGACATGTAAGTTTAATGTCAGAGTGTTAGATTATAATAGCAATTTGATTAAATTATTTAAATCACATCCTATAATGGTGATGGATTTGACATCACATTGTCCTAGTAGCTGAATATATGTAATGAGGGAAGTGGATTCCCTCTAAATCTATTGCCAATCCATTGCTCTGAATAAGATTCCAATTATGTAAGCCTTTTTTGGTTGCCAAGTTGTTTCCCCAATTTAAAGGGAAAGAAGCTGAAAGTTCAACCTTTTGGAATAAACCTAAAACCACAATGATGTTTATCACAAAACAAAAATTACAGAAATAAATATAAAAGATTGAATATGTTTATTGATGTGGCTGTTATGTAGAAAACTTTATCAATTATCCTGTAGAAATGAAGTCTTCAATGGAGTCTTATTGTCTCCATAGTTTTGGGAGAAAAGATCAGTATAAGTTAAAAGAAAATTGGTTTTTCTATATTTCCATTTATGCTTTTGTTTGCTCTGATGCATCTTTTTATTGTCATTGTTTACATTGAAGTGAAATGCTTGCTTCCTCATTCTTTTGGGTTTAGAAAAAGGAAGTTTTTGTTTAACGGGGATGAAGAAAAAATGAGAGCTGGTATTTCCCTATCAGATGTTCATTTATAAATAGCTGATTCCAAAATTAATCTTACTTTTACTTTATTAACTTTTGTAGGTTGAGAATGATAACGTAAATGAATTTGATGTTTGGCATGGTCTGGCAAATTTATATGCAAGCCTTTCTCATTGGAAGGATGCTGAAATCTGTTTGCAAAAGGCCAGAGAGTTGAAGGAATACTCAGCAGAAACAATGCACGCAGAAGGCAAGAGCTGAACCTACATGCTGCTAGACATCTTTTGCTTTAGCATGTTGAACTTATGTTTTCCCGCCTCCTTTTAATCATATAGATATTGTACGGGATTCAGGACCAAGTATTCAATCCCATTCTTGCAAAACTCTTGTCCTATTGGGAGGGTACTTATGACTGTGGTCATCTGTAACGGACAAACGTTTAGCAATGTGGGGGAAAATGCCTCCACTCAATTATAATAGTTTCTTATTACCATAGTGATAATTTGTCATTTAAGCTCCCATTGTCTTTGAAAATATTCCCCCATTATGTGAATGAATGAGTAAATTTCACCACACTATTATTTCTCATGTGAAGGGAGAAATAATGTCCTCATGGTTGTCTCCGCTACCCAAAATTTCTGGATCTGTCACCGGTAGTCATAGGCCTAAGACTATGACTGGATTCACACATGATAAACTTGTGTGTATGTGTATGTGTCTATATATATATATATATAAGGTAGGTTATACTTACAACCTTTTTTTCTTTACAACCATTTTGTTATCGTTAAATCAAAATTAAATTAATGGCTCTCATTCGATGTCATTTTGTAACTGTTGATTTGATTTTGATCCAACGATAAGGAAAATGGTTGTAAGTGGTTATAAGAAAAAAGAGGTTACAATATGGTAAAATCATTTCTGCAGCCAGTTTACGTACAGCAATGACAGGTGTATGGTTATGATTCCCCACCTTTAATGCTTTCATCCTTTGTATGGTTATGATTCCCCGCATTTAATGCTTTCAAATATATATATGGCAAGTATTTGATTGTTGCACGTACAGTAGCTGCAAAAATGTAAATCCCTTATAATATATATATATATATGGGGAAGGATATTGTGACAACCAAGTTGTATTACTACCAAGTGACTACCAATCAATCTCACCGTTAGATCGATTATATTGATCCAACGGTTATATTTATTTCCATCTTTGTATGGTCATGATTCCCCATATTTAAAGTGAAAGCATTAAATATGGGAAATCGTAACCATACAAAGGTGAAAATAAATATAAAATATTAAATTTGGGGAATCATGACCATACAAAGATGGAAATAAATATAACCGTTGGATCAATATAATCGATCTAACGGTGAGATTGATTGGTAGTCACTTGGTAGTAACACAACTTGGTTATCACAATATCCTTCTCCTATATATATATATATATATATCTATATATATATATATATATATGTATATGTATATATATATTGCAAAGCCAAATCCTTATAGGATGTGTTTGGTAGAGCATGAGCCCCACAAGATGGAATGAAGCAAAAAGCTAAAAATTATCTGCTTGCATGGTGTTAGGATTTGAGGAGATTTACCTTATGATAGAAATTTTATATTTTCTAATGTGATTGTACCAGGTGGTATGTTTGATGGTCGGGGACAAAATCCAGAAGCCCTTGCCGCTGCTACTAATGCTGTCCTATTTGAATCAAACCACGTTCCAAGCAAAATCTTGATGGGTTCTGTGATGCTGAAAATGGGTTCTAAAGCTTTGCCTGCTGCTAGAAGCTTACTTTCTGATGCACTTAGAATAGAACCCACTAACCGCAAGGCTTGGTATTACTTGGGATTAACTCACAAAGAAGATGGCAGGTTTGGTGATGCTGCTGACTGCTATCAGGCAGCTTCAATGCTTGAAGAATCGGATCCCATTGAAAGTTTCAGCTCTATACTTTGAATGGATTCCATCCCTATATAGTGAATTCTACGGTCAAATCCATACCATTTTGTTATCAGTTTTGGAAATGTTTCCCAATTTTATTTTATTTTCCCTTTTCTCTTTAAAGTATTATGATAAGAAATTAGGCTTGATGAAAATTAGTTAAATTAAACATCAAATAGGAAATAAGAAGATAAGAAAGGGATTTACGTTAATCCGGCATTAGAGTGGGTGAATTGTAAAGAACTTAAAGTGATGGAGTTTTTAATATGGTTCAGTTCTTCCTCAGCCTTGTAAATGTATGACTGCTTACTCAGGAAGGATCATTTTAAAGAGAGTAGAGATTCTTTTTTATTTGCCTGTTAGATTTAGCATGTTAATTCCATAATAAAGGATAAAAATATATCCACTTATGCTCTCTTGTACATTTTGAACTCAGATTTTGCTTCTGGTGTAGTTAGCTCTGACAAATGTTGCCATCTATACCCATTTTTATGATGAGTATTTTAGACTTGGCCTGGGATATCTCCTTACTTCGTCTCACTAGGTCATTGAATCACGTTCTCCTCCTAGTACTGCAACAACAATAGCAATGGCAGTGTACCATAGTAGTGGGTGATTAGAGTAATTCGTCTTAGTATAGACACCTAGCTGAACTTGCCTTTTCTTTTCTCTTTTTATATATTTCTACTAGCTGGAATTTCTATATTGAGACAATGTTGTCATCTGGAGTATTCCTGTATTTAGAGTATCCATTGTTGTACTTGAATCATGGATGCTTGATCTTTGTGATTTAATTTAAACCAGTTTGCTTAATATTGATTTTCCTTGTAAACTTTGTTTATTTACTGGCCATCTATAAACATAGAAGACATGTGGTATTGATTTTATTGGAAAGTAATCAAAATTAGATTCCTATTAAGCAATGTGATGTGGTTGAGTTGTATTAACACTTAATCACTTAGTAAATTTCAATAATGAATTTGCATTACATAACCTATTGGAACATGTGTGCCTAATGTGATTTCTGATTTCAAGTCTTGGATAGGAATATTTTAATACTTAAACATGGGATAATAACTATGAGTCTCTTGGGAAATACCTGTAGGGATTTAGAATTCTGGTTAACTGATTTGAATTGCTAGAGCATTCTCAGAACAGCAATTGATAGAGCAATTGTTAGAGCATTCGTAGAACGTTAACAGTAATGGGAAATTGATACTGAATCATGACTAGATCTGATTTCTTCTTCCAACTTTGTGTCTTGGTGCTTGTTTTGACTTGTTTAAAATTTTATTTCATCAACCCCTTCATTATTCCACTTATACAACTTGTTTTTATTTTGTTTCCTGAAGTAACCTCTAGGGACGTTTAACATTGATAATACTTGTTGAATGAAACATGAGTTTATTGTTGTTATTTGCACACAACACAACTGTACCCATTCCCAGCGTGAATTCATGCGGATTTGGGTGCTCATTCTATCCAAAGAAACTGTAGATGACGTCATGAAAGAAGTGTGATGATTGTACCCTGTTTTGGTATTCATTTACTCAAGTAAAGCATAGCATTGAAAATCATGCAATATTTTGAGTGTAAAAGGCGGGCCTCATCAACTGGTGTCAAAAAGAATATAGAGAGGGAACATATCATCTTAAAGAAGACAAATAACGTGATTCTTGAAAGGAATATCCAGACAATGAACTTAACGAAACAAAATAGACACACACAGAGCCATGGAATTTATACTTGAAAAAAAAAAAAATATATATATATATATATATATATATATATATAATATATATATATGGGAAAGTTATACTTGTAACCTATTTTCGTTTACAACTTCTTACGATCATATCTTAACCGTTGATTTTCGTCAATCAACGGTTAAAATTTTCGCAAATTAAATTTATTAATTAATTGTTAATTCACAATAAATGATAACCGTTAATTGGCGGAAATCAACGGCTAAGATATGGTTGTAAGAGGTTGTAAACAAAAATAGGTTGTAAGTATAACTTTCCCCATATATATATATATGAGGTAGGATCCTTTGACACCAGTGTCAAATTTGAAATTTGACACCTCATCTGAGAGCCATTAGATAAAAAAAGATCAATGGTGTCACATGTTTACAAATCAGAGTCGTTGATCTTTTTTGATCTAATGGCTCTCAGATGAGATGTCAAATTTCAAATTTGACACTGGTGTCAAAGTATATATATATATATATATATATATATATATATATATATATATATATATAGTGGCAGACCCAGGAACTTTTTTTTATGTCCGCACATTTAGTGGGGGCCGAAAAAAAATTTTTGTAAAAAAAGTTTAAATCAACGCTTGAACCCTCTCATAATCTAGTTGCTTCCATAACAAGCTGTAAGCAATAGTTTGACCAATTATTTTTTCCCTAAATCTTACCAATCCTCCAAAACAAATATGAGAATATACTCCAGTAATTCATACTTCATCATTCTATTTTATAGTGGTGAATAAAAAAATCAACACTACATGTACAGAAGGCAAGCAAAATCACAGTGAAGGCCTAGTCTCTAGATATTAACTTATTTGAGAATGTCAGACCTGCAATCAATCCTCTCTTTTTATAAAAATGAAAAAGGAAACAAAGGATATAAAGAGCATGGGAATGGGTAGTGACAGGGGAGGAAGAATAAGTTTTCTCTTTAATCAATTTGCGTTGCTACGTTGTTTTAATCATCTCCGTACGTTGCTACGTTACTAACTAATATAAGAATAAATATCATTTTTAATCCCTAACAAAAAATTCGTTCCGCACTTTAGTTCATTATAAAAAAAATTAGTCACATGGTCCCTATGAAATTCAAAGTGGATCCATTTTGGTCTTTTTGAGGGACTAATGTAGGTCTTTTTTGAATTTGTGAGGGATCACGATTTTAACTAAATTGATCCACTTTAAAATTTTTAGGGAACTCGAGACTATTTTTTTTTTTTTGTAAGGGACTAAAATGGGGACCATATTTTTTGTTAGGGACTTAAAAGGATATTTATTCCTAATATATATATTGAATCAAGAAACAAATAAAGACCTGCAACCAAGAGAAAAAAAACTGAAATAAAATTTTTTATGTCCGCACTTGCGGGCATTTGCCTGCAAGTGGGTCCGCCACTATATATATATATATATATATATATATATATATATATATATATATATATATATAGGGTAGGATATTCTTACACCGGTGTAAGATTTAGAAGTCTTATACTCAATCTTGACCATGGATTCACTTGTATCCAATAACTCTCATTACTAAAAAATTTGAGCCCAAATATAATTGGGATCAACGGATAAGATTGAGAGTGTAACTTACACTGGTGTAAAATGATCCTGACCCTATATGGGAATATATATATATATATATATATATATATATATATATAGGCTTTAATGTTTCTAAAATGATTGTAGATAAGTTATCTACATTCGCTCCCAAAACGACGTCGTTTTAGGTTGAAAAATTAAAAAATTATAAAGAAAAAGACTATTATAACCCTAAATTAAATTATAATTATGAAAATATCTTGATTTTCTTCTCAAAACGACATCGTTTTGCGCTCAATGTAGATAAGTTATCTACACTGACTGTAGAAAAAGCGAACTTATATATATATATATAATGAGAAAAATATTTGTCCTTTTAAATGACACAACTTATATCATTTCACTCTCACAAAGAGATGGGACTCACACCTTTATTTTTTTTTTGTCCATTCTCCCTCCCCCTTTATCTATCCCTTTCTTTTTCTTAAAATGACATAATTTTATATCCTTTAAAATGACATACATATATATAGGGTTTTATAAGAGTTATGTTGTAGAAAAAGTGATTGTGTAATGTTATAGAGATTCGGTTTGCGTGCCGTAATTTTTTATTTTTTTTTCTTCAAAAAGTGTGGGCCCCACAAAATGTTGTGTGTGTAGGAAACTTTGTTGTGTCATGTTAAATGATAAATGCAAACCCCATATATATATATATATATATATATATATATATATGAAAAAAATATTTCTACAGCCACTTTAGATAAGATTATCTACAGCTACCTTTTTATAACTATGTTCTCCCGGGAGAACATAGTTATAACATTAAAGTTGCTTTTTTCTCTCTCTCTTCATTTACTACTCAGAACCTGTCTATTGACGTGAAAAGAGAGAAAAACACAACATTAATGTTATAACTATGTTCTCTCGGGAGAACATAGTTATAAATGGTATCTAAAGTGGTTGTAGAAATATTTACCCCTATATATATATATATATATATATATATATATATATATATATATATATATATGTATCTCGTTACATTTGCTTTCTTGATATTTCAGTAGAGTGGGTGGCCTCTGTTTACTACTTCTTTCTTTCCCTCCTTACTTTGTCTTAGTAGGTAGTTGAATCACATTCTTCTCCTAGTACGACAATGGCGATGGTGATAGCGGAGCAGCAAGGTAAAAGTGGTTTACTTGCAAAGATATTCCAATGCTCTGGGTCAATACAGTACGAGGAGAGCAAAATATTTTTGATCTATCTTTACCTCGCGCGAATTGGCTAAATAGCCTATTATAGGCATATGGCATGGTTTATGTCATGTAAGGTCTGGCCTAATATATTTCAGCAAATAAAACAGATTCAAATTTAAAAAAAAAAAAATTATGTGTTTTGATTTTCTTATATTGCATGAGAATTATTTTTTTATTATGTGATTCAAATAGTAATGGACTTTACATTTATGTAAAAAAAAACTTTGCACGCAAATCGAATGGTCATAATGTAAGAAAGCTTTTTTTATGTAACATAAAATGTGTTTTTTCCAAAAATTATTTGTATAAGTTCTGGTTTACAAACCTAAAGACGAGTCTATCGTATTATTTATTTTAAGTAAAATAAAATAAAATAATTAATTAAATAATTTTAATTAATAAATTATTATTATTTTATTTATCTATTTTTTTCTAATTCT